GATCTGGCAGGTTAAATAGAGCGGCATATTAAGGAGACTCTGTTTGGTTGGTTGCAGAGTGGCAAGGGGCGTTATGTATGAATGCAGCATAAGTGCTCGAGTTGACTGCCTGAACTAGCTCGCAGTCTTCGCCCCATTTACGGGACCGAAGCGGCAAATACGTCTTACCTTTGCTGTTTTCTGATCAAAAGTTGTGCTCAAGGGCATTAAAATGCATATAAACGCTGCTGAAGGTTAATCCAATGTCTCTGTGTCACTTTGAAATGATTACTGATAATCCATCATAACATTTATGTCAATAAGAGTAGTTTTCATAGCTGCTATGAGAGCTACGAGAGTGTATGAGAGCTTCCGGTTTTGGGCATGCTGGCTCCGCATCCTCTCATTTACCAATGGTAATATTTAAATGGATTTAGGAACTCTCTCTCAATCTTATTGGCTCTAACGGTTCAAAAGTGGTGTCAATCATCAAAATCGACCGATGGGTTCCAGAGATATGGCAAATACACCCAAATGACCCCAGAGGTCACCTCTCTAAAAAGGTCAAATGTAACTTGTTTGCATCAATCTTGATACAGGGTACTTATTATATGTTATAGTTTGGATTCCTACAGCTTTTGGTCTATGATCCCATCATTCAAGGGTGGTTTTCACTATAAGTAATGGTTCTTTTTGGACGGAAACTATAATTTACATTGTTTTACTATGTTCAATCTGAATTTACTTTAAAATAAAAACATCTATATTGATTCTGACTTTTCTACATCCAACTCACAGGTGTTTCATTGCTTTGAGAAAAAAGACTATTAATTTAACCCTTTTAGAAGTGAAGATATAGTCATTTGTTCTGGGCATGTCATTTTCGAGCCTGAAACCTGAAAAACAGCCTCAGGCCTTAACAGGTTAATTTCATAAAGTTAGGATGACTTAGTTTGTTACTGCTTTCCAGGGCCACTTCATGTGGTGGTCCTTCCACTCCTTGGTGGTACAGAAGTCCCAGGTTTAACCACATGAGCCGTTTTAAGGTGTGACATGTGTTTACACATCATTCAGTTATGGAAAAGCTCAAACCTATAAAAAGGAAGACACCTTCATCTCTCTGTTAACTATTCCACAGGCTGGTTAAATGAAAGGAATAACTGGAAGTCACACCCATATTTTCACCAAGGTATCATGGGGCTAGGAATAACGTGGGTAGCAAAACAGGTTAGCTTACACACCTGTCACCGTATCTGGCTTAGGTGGCCTTATCTCTTTTCTCACTCTGTTTCACACACACACACACACACACACACACACACACACACACACACACACACACACACACACACACAGCCGTGAACTCTCATTCCTTTTCCAAATAGCCACACAAGCTTTGAAGAGCTCCTCTGTGGGCTTTGAAAGCTAACTTGAAAACAAGCACAATTTTACATAAAAATAGACCAAAGAGAAAAAAGAAACACCATCATGCTCAAGGCAGAACATCAGTAAAACACACACATGGCGCTCTGGATAAATTCATTTGACTAACACAAAAAAAAAGAGAGCAGAAGACATTCAGAGAAGAGAAAACTTGTTTTAAGCAGCGCACAAACATGTAGCCACGTGTAATTGGCTAAAAAATGAATACCTGGGCGGTTGGGGAGGAATTTTCCTGCTGAAGCTTGTGCAAGCCCTTACAGGACAAAGCCGGGAAGAAATACCGTTGATCAAGTGGTTTTTATTTGGTTCTTAATTGTACTAATTGTGTTTACATTGACAATTGCTCTAACCAAAGGCTGATAAGGTCATGAACAATTACATGGGTATGAAATCATTTCTGACCAGATGGTGTGGCTGTCTCAGTCATTACAGCTCCTGACCCTCTGCCAGATTACTGGGTATGGCCAGAGACAGTGTGCTCTGCCATCATGGCCACAAACAGAGAGAAATATGATTCATATTAACCCCAGGTCTTCAAATTAATATATAAGTGTAGATACAGAAGGTGTTTTTTTTTTCATTTTAACTTCATTCCTTTGGTACCCATTTTAAACCTCCATAACATTGCATGCAACTGCATTTTCTTTTATGTGGTTAAGGTGTGTTTGAGTTTCGGCTTGGTTAGGCTTAGTGAAAGATCATGGTTTGGGTTAAAATGGCTTTTCTGTAATGGTTACGCCGTTGGGGTCATGGTTAAATAATGAGCACTTGAGCTGTTTTTAGGGGTCTGTTTGTGGCCATTGTAAAAATAAACATCTGTGACTTTTGGTGGGAAATGGGAAGCGATATCTATTCACTCATGGTAAAAAACAATGTTTGGTTGACCCATCCAACATCCCCAACTCGTCTGCACATGTTATAACCCAACAAGTACTAGGCCAACCATAATAACCAGCTTTATCAACAAATCATGGTTTAGTCAAAATCACTGGACCAAGGCCCAAACGTGGAGAAAATGTCAGTAAAATGGGGAATCGGTAGAGGCTTTACCTCAATTTAGATCCCAATTTTAGTTTGTTTTTTAGTTTGCAATGTGCGAATAAAAAAGCTAAATGATGGAATCAGCAGCTGCATTGCTCTGGGTTAGACAATTTACCGGTGAGTGAAAAAGCAGAGCACTGTCGAGATGATACAGTTTTAAAGAACAGGCCACAACACAATGTGTGGAGTTCTCCCTCTGACCGTGGCCTCTCACCTTCACAGATAACACCTTCTAACTATGGGAGAATAGCTGAATCCCTCTGGGAGTCGTCCTCAGAGCTCCACGTCTCATTAAGACACACACTACATGAAGAGAAAAAGGCAGGGAAACAATGGAGCAATGTGGGTAAACGATAGAAAGAATGATGGGTGGCAGAAAAAATGGGTGTTTGTGGGTGGTGGGAAATAAAAAGAGTGAAAGGGCAGAAAAAAAAGCACAACATTTTAAGAGTTTATAGAGTTTTCTAAAGTGCAAATAAGTAGGAAAACACTCTGCATCCTGTGTGGGATGTGATGCACTAATTATCCCTGAGGCCCTTTGGGCTGGGCGAGTGTTAATGAGTATTAATGAAAACAGACCCAGAGAATACAGAGAACTGTCTCTTAATGATATATAAACAAGAAAAAGCTGGGCCTAGTTTAGATGAAAGCCTGGATGGAGAAACAACTCCCCTTTGGGACGGGAGCTGTGGGTTAATGACGTTAGGCAGAGGAGAGTGGGAAACCTAGAGTGTGTGTTTAATGCAGGTCATTGTAGATGTTACTAGATAATATATTACTAATGATAAAATAAAGTAATAGGCCTGCAAATGCTCCTAGGTAAAAACTGCTTTTGGGAAAAATGAAACTGTGCTTCTTTCCTCCTACCTGCTTTTGATGTGGTCTGCCACTTCCCCACGGGCCATGGTGTCAGTGCAAAAGTCAGTGAAGGGGCAAGCCACAGTCAGCTTGTCCAGCAGCTTGTGCACCAGCAGACTGGGTTTCCTGCAGCTCTGCAGCATGAGGGGCGTGCGGCACACCGGGCAGAAGTCGCTCTCCAGCAGGAAGCTGGTGAGGCACTCCTGGCAGTAGGTGTGTCCACAGGGCGTGTCCAGAGGCCTGATGAGCGCCTGCAGGCAGATGTGACAGACCAGGTCGTCGTCCACCTCGTCTGTGTAGAGGTATTCGTGGTTCTCCTCCAGCTGGTGGCTGTGCCCACATGCGACGCACAGGTCAGGAGGCGGAGACAAAAGACCATACTCTGAGGGGGAAAGGGGTGGAGCAGAGGCCCCCGCCATCGCCATGACAACTTCTGGCTGTATACTATCCTCCTCGATACTCATTTGGAGTCGGGATGTCTCGTTGAATCCAGTCAGGAAGTCATCAGCAGCATAGATCTATGTGAGGAAAAGGAATATTATATGTAATGTAGTTAGATTGTTGTCATCAATGTAGGATTTAACTGTTATATGTGGCCAAGCTGGGGGTAGATAAACAACTTATTTAGAGTTAAGTGGATAGCCAAGTGGCTCCTAACATGGGCATCCAGCCCCCAAAAGGGTCACAAGATTACTTGGATAGATGATAAATAGGGTCATGTTTTTACATGTTTTTTTTATGGTATTTGTTCACTGTGTCTATAAGGGACCCCCAAAATACATTTTTGTTAGTAAGGGGTCACAAGCCAAAACGGTTGTGAATATAATTGTAAATAACAAATACATTTAAAAAAACTAGCCAGTAACAGCAGAGAAATGTTTTGGAGTAAAAAGATGAATATATTCCTCTGGAACGTTATAAAGAAGTTCACAATATTGTCCTACTGCTAGTTTCTCAAAAATGAACTAGAACAGTAGAGTGAATGTATGCTGGTGCTTTACCCCACCAAAGAAAGGGAGTCAGCAGCCACAGTTATCATTTCAAGTAAACAGGGTGTGAAAATATTCATAAGCAGTGTTGCTGGAGCAGAGTTTCTCTTAAGCACAAAGATGAACAACAGCAGCACATAATGTACGCAGCAGTCCTACAAACTTTTCTTTCTTGTTTTTCTCAATATCTTGGATTTTCTACGCTGGCACAGAGGAGTAATATCAAACTACTGAGATTTCAAGAACATCAATAATCCTCATCGCAGCGGCAAGTGTCGAGGCAGATAGACACAGATAAGTCTCCAGCTCGCACTCGTTTTACTGCATGACAAATGTTGTCGGATGTGACATGATTTCAAACTGTTTTTTTACTGCCTCACAGGTTTACATGCATTCGACACTGTGAGCGTGCCAATGCACACGTCATTTCCAAAACAGGCAGGCTTCTCCAGCACATGGACACGAACAGATGGGCTCAGTCAGACACGTCACCTTGGCAACAGCCATCTTGTTGGCACTCCACAAGCTTTGTTTCTGGACTCGCTATTTGGGCTTGGCTGAATAATGAGACATTAGATCTTGTGAAAAAAAACAACAACAACAACAACAAACAGGAACAAAACTTGTGTTTGTCGTCTGAAGAAAGCAAATGTCATCCAAGTGCGAGTTCTATTTTAATTGGATGTGTTCCCATGCTCTAAATAAAATCAGAGCAAACAATACACTTTGAAGTGAATCCCATATGCTAATGGCGGCAAATATGGAGGCTCTCAGTAACTCTCAGGCTTTCAGTAGCCACAGAGTTGTCAAAACAAACAGGCCGTCCTCATTGCTTTTTACATACGCAGCATGAGGGAAGTGCACGGCGAGTTGCGACAGCTTTATAAGCTCAGTGTGTTTGGGTGAGTCTGGGAGGGGACTGCTAACAAGAAGAGGCTGAGCAGTCTTAACAAAGATGAACTTTCCCACTGAGAGCCTGCGGTAACATGGCTGATTCATCACACTCTCTGGAACCTGCTGCGTGAGGTCTGCCCTGATCTATGGAGCAGTGCACTTTCATCACTGCACAGGATGAGCTCAAAACAGAAAAGGATAGAATAAAAAAGAGAGAGAAAGAAATATCTAAGGCCGGGAACAGAAGATTTTTTTTTTAAAGTAAATGAAAAATGAAGGTGGTTTGATATTCTCCCCAGTTCCTTATCTGAACAGGATAAGGGAATCAGTTTGTTCTCTTTGAGAAACTTTGATATTAAAGAAGTAATGATAAAACACTAACAAAGGAACATAGTAAAGTAATCAGAATTTTAAAACATTTAATTAGTTTTAACCTCACTGGAACCCATTAACCATAACAATTTGTGTTTGGAATGTCGATCACCTTCCCACAATACTTTCCGCATACAAATACATGTACATCCATGCAGAGACACACACACACACACCACTGCACACCCACTCATACAGATGGGCAAATTCAGACAGAGGACACGCCTGTGCCTGAGGAGCATCAGCTTTCTCCGGTTCATTCCTAATCCCTGAAGTGACAGGACGACCTGAACGCCACAGTATAAGACAGCTGATAGACTGGACCTTAACTACACATTACTGATGCTTTATTAATAGCCACACCTGCCTTACAATTAGCAAGCATTAGAATGATCAGGATTTTAGTCAAGCTGCATTCTGTCCTGGTTTTTATTTCACTTTTGAAGAGCAGTGTTTGGACTGTCAACACAAAAGCAAAAGTGTTTCCTTTGTCTTTGTACCAAAGTCAAGCTCAAAAGATTGGATATTTAACTATTAAAAGACTGGGCGAGCTGTTTGTCTAAGTAAGCCTACCCCTTATTCGTCACACATTATACATTTTATGTAAATAGTGTTGTTGATTCACTCTCATGTTCCTCTCCTGTGATCTGGAAAGACTTGATGCGTTAATAATGATACAAGTCATGTCAAGTCAGCTCCTTTTCCTAACGATTGAGTTTGAAAAATAACCCAATGACAAGCTGAATATGTCTGCGTCCGCACTCTCGCTGTCCATACTGAAGTAGCATATACTTTTCATACTCAACATAATCAAATCATATCTGTATCGATCAAACAAACACACCCTGCTAGAGGCGCAGCCAAATGAGATAAGTGAGAGCAAAGAATGCTTAAAACACAACAGTCTTCTTTTGCATAACTTGTTTGTTAAGCATTACAGATTTTCTTTTAAGAGCCACAACATACCGAAATGTATGCTATTATGTATTTGAACTGACACAGACTACACCTGCTCATTGTATTTGAAGCAGCTGTGGCCTCACATGGAAAAGACTATAAACTGCCATCTGATTCATGTTAAGCAACAAACTAATTTAAAGGCTGACACACAATCACAAGGACCACGCTCACACTCACAATTACAGCACAGAGTAGGAGTGCTGAATGAGAAGTTGTTTGTGAACATGTCAGTTCATCATTAGGTAAACAAAAAGTTAATATAGCATGCCGATACTAATTCACCAATGCTGATTCAAGCATGTTAATAAACACTGACCTTGAGCACAAACAAACATAAGGAAGCCTGGTGTTAAAGGAAAAAAGAATGTGTGAGATCCCACACACACACACACACACACACACACACACACACACACACACACACACACACACACACACACACACACACACACACACACACACACACACACACACACAGCATAGTCTGTTGTGTTCAGACATGTCGATGAATCACTGAAGATTCCAGTTTTTTTCACTTTCAGCAGAAATCTGTTTCATAACCAACACATAACACAGTGCACATTAAACAGTATTGACAGTATATGTAACATGACACATTAATTAATTAAATGTGTCTATATTGACAATTGGGGTTTAAGACAATACCCAGCCTATCAAGAATCCCATGATACATTAATTATATAACACAACTTAGTACTATTGTCAGTATTCTTGAAATCTAGTATATACTGTTCCACTTAGAATAAACATATATATATATATATATATATATATTTGTTCTTAGAATGATCATATAGGATGTGAAGCAACTAGGTATGATGGGAATTTATTATAGTGATTCAATATGTATGTAGGTTGCCTGGCTACAAAGTGTTTTCAGACAGAAGGGTGTCGCCTTGACCATTGTCAGGCAATTATCATAGGATGTTAGGGTTGTTAACATGCTGTGCTCCCCCTTCTGCCTTCCCCCCACCTTTCTTGGGACTGTAATGTGGATTGCCTAGCTGAATTAATCCTCTTCCTGTGTCCCTTCCCTGTATAAAGTCATTGCTTTTCTGGGTAACTTGGTCAGATTTCCTTACCACATCAGTGGAACGGGTTATCTGTCCTTTCCAGCTGGAAATAGTTTGATTCTGTTAAATGCTATAACTCTGTATTAAATAACACATGGTTTAATCTTGTATGTGTGTTCCTTTCTTACCAGAATAGGGTGATTAAGTGTGGAATATCCACCCCACTAGGTAATGTAATTCCTGTCCTTTCAATAACCTTTACATAAGGCTCTTGTGTGTTTGTGTGTGTGTGTGTATGTCGGTCCCTCTCTGAATTCATATCTCAGCGGTGAGTTTGAGCCAGACCTGACACCTCAGTCTGGGGGAACAGCTGCACGCAGATGCAACACCCTGTGAAGTGTCTCTAATATCAGAATGGTTGACTGGATGAGCACAGACTGTACTGAACACTAACAGAGAGGCTGAGATTAGCAATCACACACACGTAGGTAACAGAAAACAGCTACACAGGCAACTATCCCACACATGTGAAGTGAGCACTCACACAGGGACTAAATGCAAAGAATTCCAGCACAAAGCCCTGGAACATTGTTTTGTAACTACTGACAATGTTTCTACTGTGGAGGATTTAACACAAGTTACAACAACAGTTATGATAAAAAAAACTATTTGTAGAGGGGAAAGTATACTTACATGGCTTCATGAGCGACGTTCACTTTTAGCAGAGCAGTTCACCTGGGCAGGTAAAGCCTCACAGAGGGTGTAACATTAAACCATTCAGAGTGAAGGTGGGGGGAGCAAAGGAGTGTAAAATGACACAGTAAAAAGGACTTTGTCCCAGTCAGAGACTCAGATGATTGGCTGCAGGTCTTCAGCTGAAGAAATTATATCCGGCTGCCCGTCTTAAGGGAATTCTACAACCCAAAGTGGGAAGACTGTCCCTGTGCGAGCTCAGACCTTACTCACCTCTAACAGGCCAAGGTGATCAGGAAGTGGCAGAGGGGAGGGGTGGAGCCAGAGAAAAGGTAAACAAGAGAACTGCCCAAACCTGTTCTGCAGAAACTGTGATCTCCCATTAAGTGGAGTAACGCAGGAAACAGAAGCATGCAGGGTTATGAGAAGCAGTTGATACATTTTTACATGTACCAGAATCACTATCAAACCACCATTTCTTTTAAATGTAAATGTCTTTCAAAAGGGCACCAGCAGCTTGAGCAACAAGTTCTGACAGGACCTCATTTCCAACACGATCAAAATGTAATAACCCACAAAAACATGTAATGCATGATTGATTTCCTGCCGTCCATTTTAGTAAACAGAAGGACTGTGCTCTGGTCTTTACACAGGAAGCCCATAATCTGAGTAAATAACATGTCTCACGATAATACTACCATGCACACATTTGTGTACCATATACACAGATAATACCTTATTTTATTCTATGGTTTTTCTTCCCTATGACAAAAGCTGCTTTTGTAAATCTGTGTGTGTGATTCTGGCTTTGTACAAAAACAGTTGTTATCCTCGTTTTAAGATGGGGTTTCCCTCTCGGCTCTTCCTACCTCACGCTGCTCTTTAAACCCTGAGACTCTCAGCCACAGGTCCTCCAGACACAAGCTGACGTTTCCTCATGAGTCACTCAGAGACCAGTTGAATATGTGTCTGAGCAGAATATACAGAAAAAGCACATATGGGTTACTCTGCGTCAGAATATCAATGACTCAAGTCTTCCTTTCATGTACAGTACAGTAAACTTGCTAAATAACAAAGGGGATGATTGTGTATATAGACCTTAAATATATACAGCAACAATAATTGAAAGTAGGGTTAGGGTTATTTACTTTTTTGTGATCCTGTAGTGATCTTGAGCAATTTTCCGTCAAAAGTGTAAAAAGGGTGCAAAATGCTCCCACAAAATCTACCGGTGTGTGGAGATCAAAATGAAGGCAGAGTTGGAAGGATGGGTTTGGCCTGATGATGATGATGATGGTGAAAATGCTCTCTAGTTGTCTATGCTCACCCTCACTGAACAATCAGGTAGTGGAGCGTATAGTCTCTTAAGTGATGGTTGAAGAACAAGAAACTGTAGAGTAGTTCCCTGTGACCTTTGAAGCTGTCATATCACTCCCATTTCCTTTCCACACAAACAGACTCCTGTCTCCTTCTCTTCTCCTGACTCTGATAAATAGCGTACCGAAGCAGGATGTAACTAATGATGGGAAATGCCAATGTGAAACTTTCAAGTAAATGAAGCTGTCTGTGTTGCTACAGTGATTCAAATATGTGGAGTTTCTTCAACTTCCAAGTTCTCTTTGAAGTGCTGAGTTGAACCTGCATCCTGTTTAATTTCTGCTGAGTCTATAGCTCCCTGCCGCTGGAGTTTATCTAAACACTGTGATGCAGGTGAAACCAATCTCTTCCCCTGTCTCTCTAGGACACTTTCTCTTATTTCACACACACACACACACACACACACACACACACACACACACACACACACACACACACACACACAGCTATCTCTTCCCAGCTTAGATGTGCTTCACATTCCTCTGACACACTTTCCTCTAAGTTTCCTGCATTGATTTGAATTCAGATGGCAGATGAGAAAGTAAAAGAAATGGCAGATAAAAAGTCAGGAAATATTTCCCTTTCAAGTCACTTTCTGAAATACCCATCATCAATTTCTTTTTCTATCCATTCTCATGTGGCAGTGAAAGGTCGGTCTCCCTTCCTTGCACACAGCATCCATATTTCATGGAGCAAAGGCTTGAATATTGAAGAGTGGAAACAGCAGAACGAAGGTCATCAAATATAAGCAACCGAGCCGGCTCCACCATCACCAGGGAGACGGCCTCCTTCTTGTCCTGTGATCGTTCAATGCCGACCGTGTGTGGGTGTGGGTGTTGTGAGCGTACGCTTGGGGATCAATGAGAGAAAAAGCAAGTTTCTTTTTAATGTCTAACATTAAATAAATATTTGTTCTGCCTTAATAGTAATTATTATAATTTAGCCTCAACCACCTCTCACACAGTGTTTGGATAAAACACTACCTCCAGACCAGGCTGCATTTAATAATCATATTGAAACAGTCTAAATGTAACCACTGCTGTATTAATATATATGTATATACTACTAACTCTACTAAGCTTGAGGCTAACTGTATTTTATTGTTATGATATGTATGATAATCATTTGTGACTTTAAGTTAATCTGAATTTATAATATCTATAGTAAAGCCTGCAAGCTGGTAGGTCTAGTGGCTGTTGTTCTCTTATTATTTTTAGGCTTTCAGGATCAGGGACTTCTTATTAATCACTTAGCTGAACGTATCTTATATATATATATATATATAAAAAGAAGTATATTAATTGTATTTCTTTTTTTGTAATTATTACATTGTTATTAATTTATTACATTGCATTTAGCTGACGCTTTTATCCAAAGCGACTTACAATAAGTGCATTTGACCAAGAAGATACAAACTTGAAGAAAACAGAATCATATAAGTACATCAGGTTTCGTAGAGCTAAAACATTTCAAGTGCAACTCAACTGGCTTTAGATAAGCCAGTCCTTTATTAGTATATAAGTGCTTTGTTAGCAATTATTTGTTAATAATTCTATCGCTCGAAGTGGAGTCGAAAGGGATGAGTTTTCAGTCTGCGCCGTATATGTTATTAAGGAGGAATATGTTTTACTAGCATGCTCCTTGTTG